CCTAACTTAACTCTGGTGCCGTGTCACATATAGAAATTTTTTGATCTTTGCCACCACAGTAAAACAAAGACTTATATTTTTGATATTTGTTTTATATATTTAAATGCCATTTAACAAAGAAAAATCAACCCCAAAAATGAGTTCGCGTGTCACCTCGGACACGCGTGTCATAGATTCGCCATCGCTGTCCCAAGCCCTGCCCTCCAGTGGAGCGCGCATGCCAAGAGCACTAGGCGGGCACAAGTGGTTTATTATTTCTGCTTGGAAGAGGAGGCCCTGGCAGGAGCGGGATGCACAGCAGACATGGATGCCGGTGGCTGGAGTCCAGAGCTGCTGGGGAGGAGGTGCGATCTCGCAGGCACAGGCCACCGGCTGGAGAGGCGGCCCAGCCTCACCGATGCCGCTTTCGGATGCACTGCAGCTCCTGGTGGATGGCGCTGAAGCTGGGCCGCTCCCCGGGCTCGTAGGCCCAGCACTGCTCCATGAGTCTGAACACAGCGTCGGGGCACAGCTCGGGGCAGGGCAAGCGGCCCCCTGTGAGGATGAGCACAGCACCCGGGCGTGAGGAGGGAGTCTGAGGCCCCCTCGCAGCTCCGGAGTGGGGGTGGGGTGGGGGGGGACCAAACCCGTGAGCAATGGGAACTGAGTAAACCACACTGTTCTGCAGGGGCCACGCTTCCTCACCAAGAGCCCCAAGGACACAGAGGCCCTAATCGCAACCCCACCGTGCGCTGGTTGTATGACCTCTGCAAGCCTCAGTTTTTCCTTCTGTAAAAGGGACAGATTCATTCCCGCCTCCCCTGCTGTGCTCACTCGGTGGCAGCTACAGGACTGATTGATCTTATTCGGCCCCAGTGGGAGGAGCGGAAGGTGAGGGGACCCGGAAGAGTTCCCCTGCAGCATAGGGACAAATGCGTGGACCTGGCCGGTGTGGCTCAGTGGTTAAGCATTGACCGTTCGATTCCTGGTCAGGGCACATGCCTGGGTTGCAGGTTCCATCTCCAATTGGGGGCATGCAGGAGGCAGCCGATCAATGATGTTCTCTCATCATTGATGTTTCTCTCTCTCTCCTTCTCTCTTCCTCTCTCTCTCAAAATCCATACAAAATCTTTTTTTTTTTTTTTTTTTTTTTTTTTTTTTACAGAGAGGAAGGGAGAGGGATAGAGAGTTAGAAACATCGATGAGAGAGAAACATCGATCAGCTGCCTCCTGCACACTCCCTACTGAGGATGAGCCCGATACCAAGGTACATGCCCTTGACCAGAATCGAACCTGGGACAATTCAGTCCACAGGCCGACGCTCTATCCACTGAGCCAAACTGGTCAGGGCTCAATACAAAAATCTTAAAAAAAAAAAACCAAAACACCCCAAAACTTGGCTGTGAGGCTGCCAGCAGGGGGCTGCCTTACCCTTTTCTATGAACTCCCGCGTCTGCTGGTTGCTGAGGTTGGGGTACGGAGAGGCCCCCAGGCTGAAGGTCTCCCAGAGCAAGATGCCAAAGCTCCACACGTCGCTCTCAGAGGAATAGCGGCCTGCAAGGGGGCGGGCGGCGTGAGAGGGCCCCCGCGTCCTCCTCGCTCAGAGGGAGGTGCGCCCGGCTGGCCCCGGAGGCCCGGAGGCCATTGGCTTACCGTAGTTCAGAGCCTCGGGTGCTGTCCACTTCACGGGGACTTGCCTGAGGCCCCCCGAGGCGGCGTAGATCCCGTCCTCTTCCTCCCGGGACATCCCGAAGTCACTGATCTTTAGCACGTTCTTCTCCGTGACCAGGCAGTTCCGAGCAGCCAGGTCCCTGGGAAGAGCAGGAAAGGGGCTCACTCGGTCACCGTCCACGCAGCACCTGTCACCGGCCTGACCTGGGCCCCCGAGACAGACCCATGAACAAAGACTGCTCTCTGCCTGAGCTGGTGTGGCTCAGTGGATAGAGCGCGGGCGCGACCTGCACACCCAGCCTAGGCCCAGGGGACGCCCTCCCTCGCCTCCCGACAGCCACTGGCCTCCGGACGGCCGCCCTCTTCTGGGCGCTGATGTTGTCCCACCACTTGGCGAAGAAGGAGACCTCGGCCCAGAGGAAGCGGCGCCGGGGGTCCTCCTGCAGCTTGGTCACCATGCTGTTGAGGATGTGCTGGGTCTGCTCCACGTAGTACTTGTCAAAGGTCTTGATCCAGCCTGGGGAGCAACACAGGGTCCCTGAGCCTGCCACACCCGCTTCCACTGTCTCTCCCTCACCCTGGCCATCGGGGGCCCGCTGAGCCCACCTGCTGGTGAATGAGGGGTGCTGGGTGACAGCACGGCCTGAACCTAGGGGGTTACGAGGGGGGCTACAGGGGAGGCTGGGCTGCGTGAGGGCGCTCCCCGCTCACCGATGGATACAGCCCTTGCTCTCCAGGTACTCCATGCCCGCAGCTGCGTCCCCCACCATCTGCAGCAGAGTCTTCATCCGAAGCCGGGCTCCCTCAGTCCGAAGAAAAGTCAGGAAGTCGCCCCCTGGGGGTGGATGGGGGAGCCTTGCTGAGCCTCCTGCAGGGGCGGGGGGCCCGACCAGGGGGCTGAGGTCCCCACCCCTGGAGAGCTGACCCTGGGCTCACCCTGCACCAGCTCCATGACGATGTAGATGGGCTGTTTCTGGGTGCAGACGCCGATGAGACGCACGATGTTGGGGTGGCTGTACTGCTTCAGGATCCTGGCGGGCACTGCTGCTTAGGCTCCCACCGTGGGGGCTTACACATCCTACCCCAGCCCCAGGGACCCCAGGGAACCCCAGGGAACCCCAGGAAGCCCGAGGGAGGACGGGGAAAGGGCAGAAAAGCAAGCTTGGCCTCTGAGGTCAGGAGGCCTGGACGTGTGACCTTGGGTGGGATCACTGAGCCTCAACCCCTCTGCCCTGGTTGTGGGGAGTGAGTTTGTGAGGATGACATGACACCACGGAAGTCAAGCTCTCCAGGGGACCGAGGGAGTCCACATGGGACAGGCAGGGAATGTCACCTCTGACATGTTCACTAAAGAGAAGTGACACGGACAATCCAAAAGCCACTTTCCGCCCGGCCATGTCACCGTGCGCAGAGGAACCCCTTGAGGGGCCGCGGCGGTGACCGTTATGTCATCACCTACCTGGCTTCCTGCAGGAACTTGGCCTTGAGGTCAGGCGGCAGCGTCTCCCGACAGGATTTCACCGCCACCAGGGTGTTGTCCACTCGCAGGCGCCCGCTGAACACTTCGCCAAAGTTCCCCTGCAACGGCCTGGGGTTCCTACCCGTCGTCTCTGGGCCACAGTCCCCTCGTCTCGGGGGACAGCCCTCCGGGCCCCCACCCGCCCGCCCTTCGCTCATGGCCCCAATCCGGCTCTCTGGTTCACCCCTGGTTGGGGGACCGAGGGAGTCCACATGGGACAGGCAGGGAATGTCACCTCTGACATGTTCACTAAAGAGAAGTGACACGGACAATCCAAAAGCCACTTTCCGCCCGGCCGGTGTGGCTCC